TTCCATGGTCACGCTTTTGAGAAAGAAAATAACCGAGAAGACAAAGTGACTAAAGCTAGGAAATGGATTGTTTATCTACACTATGATACAATGGTTTTGCGCCCGTGCTTGCGAGAGTCATAGCCTTCAGGGTCATGAAATTGATCAGCATTTATCACCATTTGAGAGAGATTTAAAGCCTTCAAGAACATGTAATTGATCAGTATTTTATCACCGTTAGTTTGTCCCTTCTCCGTTTTTGATATTTGATTAATATGGTTGACAAAATTTGAAGTCTTCAGGTACATGTAAGTATAGGTAAGAACTGGCTAGAAGGAGAGATAAAAGCTACCAAAGAGGTTGTTTACCAATGCACTAATACCATCGTGCCCACGCTTATGAGAGAGAAAATAACCTACGACATATAAATGATAATGAACTTTGGCAAAAAGTAGAGAATAAATAAGGCTAATACAAATCGAAAAAGAAGAAGAAGAAGAATTGAGAGAATACAAAGACGATGATGAAGATGAAATAAAATGGTGAGAAATAATAAAATCGAAAGATATATAAGAGAAATAAGAAGAAAAAAAAGTACAAGTCAAAGACGATGAAGAAGAAGAAGGAAAATATGAGGAAGAAGAAGGAAAATATGAGGAAGAAGAAGATGAAGAATTTGGGGCAGAAAAAGAAGACAAAGGACATAAAACTGGAGAATGAACAAGAAGACGAATAAAAACCAGAAAAAGCTAGAGAATAAGGAAAATACAAGGAAAAACTAAACCATAAGATTAAGAGTAAGAAGGGTATACCAAAACAGAAGAGGAAGAAGAAGAAAAAAAGACAAATCCGAAGAGGAAATGAAATAAAAGTTAAAGACGATAAAGAAGAGAAAAGAAAAGATAAAGAATAATACCAGTTGAAGTCAATGACAAGGAAGACTGAAAAGACGAAGAAGAAGACCGAAAAAAAGAAAAAAAATTCATAATAAGAAAAATTATGATAAGACAAAAATGTTGAAGAATAAGAAGGGGAAAAGGCTGGTGAATTTAGAGAAAGAAGGAGAGAGAGAAATTGAGTTAATGTTTTCAGGGACATGTAAATGCTTTCAGGGGCATATAGATGGAGAGAGAGAGAGAGTGTGTGTGAGAGAGAAATAAAGAGAAAGAGAAATGGGAGAGAGATTTAAACCTTCCAGGTACGTGATATCAAATATATATTACTTCGTCGTTTTTGTGTTCCTGTTTTTTAATATACGAAACACTTTTTACTTTAAATGTATTTGTCTAAATCACATGATATATACAAACTAGGATGAGAGAGAGGAAGGGAGATAGTGAGAGAGAAATATTGAAAGAGGGAGATGGAGAGAGAAAGAATGATAGGGAGGGA